TATATATATATATAAAATATTTTACAAATTAAGTCCTTTCAGTTGAAGGTCTATTTTCTTTGTTCTGAAGTTTAGTAAGTGTGCTAAAGTAGAAAGACAGTCTTCGATATTGTGGCTGTGTTAAGATTAGAGAAATTCTGCTAGTGTTGAAGGCCAAGCCTTAGTTGCTTAATTTACAACGCTTTTGCTTTGCCATGCAGATCTGTAACCTCGGACAGCTCTTGTGTATGTAAGGAGGGTGAATGTGTCCAAGTTATAAAGTTATATAGAACCAGATGGCCGAAGAAGGGGGGTGAGTGAGCATGGGCATGGCCAGAGGACGAGACAACCTGATTGCAGATGAGCCATTAATAACTATCGGTATATACCCCCTACTCACAAGAAGACTGGATAATTGGCAGACTGACTACCTTAAAGCAGAGCAAGCACCCTGAAAGGACGATTGATTACAGGATGAACCTTCGAGAGATGTTTTGGGAACACTCACATCACAAAGGTAACGTTCCAGTCACAAGCTGACAAAGCGGAATCCATGGATTTCAACAAGAGAAACGGATTATAAAAAGCAGGGTGTTTTGCTATGGAACTTGGGTTTGTCTGCCACTATCTGGAGAGGAGTATCGGATCGATTGACCGACAAGGCCCTGCTTCCCCCCTCCGTGCTCAATCTAGCTGACCACTAGATTGACACAACCTCTGCACTGGTAACTATATCATCTGGCAGAACTGTGTATGCATGATGTTTTGTGTGTGTGACTGAAAAGCATATGCAGCTGTTGTATTCTCAGTAAATACGGTGTACTGCCTCTTCCTTCATAAAAGATTTAGTGTGCTTCGTTTAAGCATAACAATGCAGCTGGGGTCAAATTCAAGCACTCCTAAGAAGCTAGCTTGATTAGGGCACAGGGGGCCCTGAACATTAGAGCATAGTTTCTAAACATGGAGACTGTACACCGGGGGTGGGGAGCTAAGGTCCGGGGGCTGGATGTGACCTCCAACTTGCCTGGATCTGGCCCCTAAGGCTTGGGGCTCCCCTCCTAGCCTGCTCTTATGCTCTCCCTCCCACTCAGACCCCATACCCCAAGTCTGCTTCCTGGCAGCTGCCCTGCCACATACTGAACTCATTTTTGCCCCCACCCTAGAGCCTAGGAGGGGCCAAAAATCTATTAGCCTGGGCTCCCCAGGCATATGGGGAGTGTCTTTCTCCTCCTTTTCAGTTGAGGGCCACATCAGTGAGATTGGCGTGTGTGTGTGGTTTTGTTTTTGTTTTGTTTTTTCTCTCCTCAGTTGAGGGTCTTGTCTGTTTGTTTTTGCTTCTCACTTTTGTGCGCCCCCCCCCCCCCCCCCACTGATTTTTTTTGGGTCAGTGGCCCTAACCCAAAAAGGTTCCTTTCCACCTCTGCTGTACATATATTCATACCACTAGCATCACTGAAATATGTGAGTGCCTTGCAATTTTAATCCTTCCAGGGCACCTGCTATGGGAAATGCCCCATCATCCCTCTTATCTACAGTTACTAGATACTGGGTTGTTTCTCATTGGGTTATGCTGTATTTCTCAGAAATATAGTACCTCGCTTTCCAGGACTCGATTTTGGTCTCCTCCGGATACTTTGCAAAGAAGCCAGACGTAGGCACTTGGTCTGAACAAATGAATAATAATGACAATGAATACAAAAGAACTTAAGGTACTTCTACACTGCATCCCTAGTTCGGGCTAGGGATGCAAATGGAGACAACCGAAGTAGTTAATGAAGAGGGGATTTAAATATCCCGCGCTTCAGTAACATGATCTCGCCGGCACGCTAGTTCGAATCACAGCTGATTTTACTGAGGAGTAACATTAGTAATGTTACTCCTCAGTAAAATCAGCTGTGATTCGAACTAGCGTGCCGGCGAGATCATGTTACTGAAGCGCGGGATATTTAAATCCCCTCTTCATTAACTACTTCGGTTGTCTCCATTTGCATCCCTAGTCCGAATTAGGGATGCAGCGTAGACATACCCATAGAGGGAACATTGATGCAAGGCTATTTTTTTCCATTTGTGTGCAGAATAATTTTTGTTTCTTGCACTACCAGGGGTGCACCACCAGTAGAAACTCATACTGCAGCTGTTAGTGCTCTGCTGATCAGCAGGGCAGTACCTGAATCTCTCCTGGGTGGCTGCCCAAGCACTCAGCTTACAGAGTACACTGCCCTTCATCCTTTATGCATCCACACTTGGGCTATGTCTACACTTGCGGCTTCTTGTGCATGAGTTCTTGCACAAGAAAACGTCCACACTGCCATGTGTGAGCTGTGCTTTTGTGCAAGAGCGCCCATGGCAGTGTGGACGCTTTCTTGCACAAGAAAGCTCTGATGGCCATTTTAGCCATAGGGCTTTCTTGCGCAAGAAATCCCTGCCGAGCGTCCACACTGCCCTCTTGTGCAAGAGCTCCTGCGCAAGAGGGCTTACACCTGTCAAAAAAGAGCGTCACTCTTGTGCAAGGAGCCCTCTCTTACCACACCGTACTGTGAATTTCCTTGCGCAAGAGCTCTGCAGATTCTCGCGCAAGAACAGCTGTACTTGTGCAAGAAGCTGTGAGTGTAGACATAGCCTTGGGTAGGAGACAATGGTGTCCCTACGTCAGGCCTTGAGACATGAGGAGGGCTCTGTCCCTGCTTCTGCAGAATCCTGGTCACACACCTCACAGGGTATTCAGAAGCATGTGGGGAAGTGAAGGGAGACAGAGGAAGAGGCAGGAATGGGAGGGAGAGTGCAGCTTTTTAAAATAAACCATCATTGCCACTTATATATTCTGGGGCTATGCAGGAGCTTGCGCATTGCTCCTAATGAGCCGTGGGAAGCAGGCACTAGGCATGCTCCTGGTCTCACTGCATATTCCCCTCCTATGTCAGGGGCTGGGAATAGAGCCATGCAGGGACCTTATGCTAAGTCTACACTGGCGCTGTCCAGGGCTTTCTTCTGAGGGCTGTTGGCACCCCCTTTAAGGCTCCTTTGTGCTGACCAAATTGTAAAAGGCCCTTAGCATATCTGCGATCAGTGTGATTTACCAGGCCATATTCCCAGCTAATGTAAAGCAGGTGTAGTCCCATTGATTTCAGTGGATCTATGTCAGTCTGCATACATGAGTCACAGCTGCAGAACCAGAAATATTAAGGGCTGATTCCCCACTGTTACAGCCACTTGACATGGGCATAACTTCTTTGAAATAGAGCATAAGACTTGTTATGGAGGGTACAGCTGGGCAGTGCCATCCTCGTGTAACTGCATTAAAGTCAGTAGAACCAAGGACTGGAAGAGTTCTCCACGGTCCCCAAGGTTGCTATGACAGGCAACCTCCTCATCTATGTTTTTCAAGCTTAATTTTAAAACTAGCTAGGGGGCCTGCCCTTCCCACCGGAAAGCTGCTCTGGACCCTCTCTCCTGCGATGGGTAGAAACCTACTTTCCAACCTGAATATATTCATGGCCAGTTTGCACTCACTTGTTCTTGAATCTGGTTGTTTTCTCTACTCTATGCCCAGTGCAGGGTTGCCCAGGCTGCTAGCCCTCAATAAGTAGCAATTAACAGAAGAGGCCTGTGTGACTCTGATCTGAAGTAGCACTGGTCTAGACAGAGCTTGTCTAAAGTCCAGTTGTCCCCCAGCACCCCTTTGCTCTTCTCCAGTGGCAGGAGACATACAGGGAGCATTTCTCACCTCGTGCTTCCTTAGAGTTGGACCTGGGAGGAGAATATTGCACTGGGAACAGGCTGCCAACACATCGTAAGTCATTGAGTCTTCGGGATCCAGCACAGAAGTGAAAGCAGAGCGGCTTGCTGACTTTTTGTTCTTCAGTGGCTTGAGCGAGGGCCGGGAGGCAGAAGACAAGTCCTTCTCCTTCCGTTTTGGGCGAACATCCTGCCATGCTGCAGCTGCATTCTCACGGGGGGAAGACCTCACCAGCGAGGGAAGAGGGAGCGGCTGGGATGTTGTGACTGACTGGGTGGCGAGAATTTCCGCGAGTTTGGAGAGAGGGCTGCACTCATTCTGCGAAGGACAATGAAAAAAAACAATGGACATCGCCAGATGGTGAATCAATGAGGGTGCCCTGGAGGATGTCAGGGCACGTGTCTGCACCATGACTCAATACAAGAAAAAATTAAAAACACCCGAATGGGAGACTAAAAATCAATAAAGGCAGATGTCTTTAAAAAACCAGAGGGCAGGAGAAAGGTGCCACAAAACACACTGCAACTACAGGTCCCTTCTAGGGTGGGGAAGTCACTGTGTGCAGGTGCTCCACAAAAAGAGGACAATGGTGTCCAGACAGATGCCCTGATGGGGAGCCAGGTTTTTACTAGGAGCCTCTGCACCAAAAGTATCATCAAACTGACTGAAAGGTTAGTAGCAGCCCTTTCCGAATAGACACCCCCTCAAGGCAACAGGATTGGAGCCTTTGTTCTTCAGGGCTTTATTAGCCAGTCTAGCTCTTGCTAGGCAGTGGGAGGGAAAGATGCAGGAGGTGTGTAGAATCACAGCTGTTTTCATTCTGCATTGGCAGCAAGAGGGTAAGAGCCCTGGAGGCAGCCTGCCAAGGAAGGACTGGTGCTAACAGGGCATGTGTGGCTGGTGCAAGGCTGTGCAACCTGAGCAGCCAGAACCTGCTGTCCTGCTGTGTCCAGCGTGTGGCTTTTGACAAAAACGGCGTGGTCTGAAGGATGCCCAAGCTCTTTGCTGGTTTTGCTCGCCAATCACTTACCAGGTGCTGGAGGTACTGGTCGTCGGGGAAGCACTTATTGCATTGCTGACACAGATTGTCACTGAGACCTGGAGAGGAAACGGGGAAAGCAATCTACTGTTAATGCACAGAGCAGTCAAATACTGTTCCCAGCTCCTCAAACTCAGGTCACGCCAGGCCTGCTGATGGGGGGGGGGGGACAAAGGGGCAATTGGCTCAGGGCCTGGTGATTTTTAAAGGGCCCAAGGCTCATGGCCATTGCTACTGGGAGCCCTGAGCTGCATGCTCCAGCTGACTCCGAGGGCTGGTGGAGAGCAGGAAGGGCACCACACTGTCCAGGCAGTGCTGGGGGTAGGCTGCCCAGTCCTGTCCCTTCTGCCCCATCTCTTCTGGGAGCATGGAACTTCCCTCCCCCCACCACAGTGCCCAGTGGGCCAGCAATCCTGTCAGCTCCCTGGGTCATGCAGACCACCACTAGAAGCACCTGATCCAAACGCTGCTGAACGTGAGGGGACTGGAGCCTAAGGCAGGAATGGATCCAAATTTCCCTGTTTGCATCTCTTGAATAAACTGAAGTTTTGAAATTTCCTCCCTGCTGATCTCTGGAGTGGTTGAAACCCAACTCTGGATCAACACTTTGTATCTGTCCCAGTGAGTATGTTCTTGCTCTTTCCCCCGTCGTCCTTAGACTCATTGGTGGCATTCACAAATGATCACCCGCTTCTCCTATCACCAGTGCTCCCTCTAAGATTTTCCAACCATGAGCAGAGTGAGTTTTGGTTTGTGCACCAATATTGAGGTCATGTGTGCTGGTTTGGATGTGTGCCACCGTGGCACCCAATTTATTTACAGACACTCACACAGACATGCGCACATGTTCCCCGCCACCAGAGCAGGCCCGGCGCCCCACCCCGCCCATGCAGCATGTCATGTTCCTGGTCACAGGAGGAGATACGCGCCCCTTCCCCCCATGCAACAGGTCCCGTTCCTGGCCCCAATCTCAAGAACAGGCCTCAGTGCCCCCACCACCTGGCAGCCCTGGCCACCAGAGCAGGCCTCCTCTCCCTCACCATGCAGTCCTCTGCCCCAGTGGCTTCCTCACCACGCTATCTCAGCAGGCCCCGCCTGCCAGAATAGCCGTCTGCAGTTCAAGTGCTGCTGCACAGCTCTCTAGAGGAGGTGGGTGGGAGAAGAAATGTTTGTGCGTACTATACATCCAATATGATGGGGACTACTTTAGCTACAACTACTCAAAAGAGAGATCTTGAAGTCATTGTGGATAGTTCTCTGAACGCATCCTCTCAGTGTGCAGCGGCAGTCAAAAAAGCAAACAGAATGTTAGGAATAATTTAAAAAGGGACAGAGAATAAGACAGAAAATATCTTATTGCCTCTGTATAAATCCATGCTACACCCACATCTTGAATACTGCGTACATATGTGGTTGTCTCCTCTCAGAAAAGATACATTGGCATTGGAAAAGGTTCAGAAAAGGGCAACAAAAGCGATGAGGGGTTTGGAACAGGTCCCATATGAAGAGAGAGTAAAAAGACTTGGAGTTTTCAGCTTAGAAAAGAGAGGACTAAAGGAGGATATTATTGAGGTCTATAAAATCATGACTGGTGCACAGTCAAGATGTGGTGATGACTAGGACTTTAACAGGGTTCCAAAAAAGAGCTAGATAGATTCATGGAACTTAGGTCCATTATTGGTTATTAGCCAGGATGGGTAGAAATGGTGTCCCTAGCCTCTGTTTGTCTGGAAATGGATGACAAGAGAGGGATCATGTGAGGATTACCTTCCCTTTGAGGCATCTCTTATTGGCCACTGTCGGCAGACAGGATACTGGGCTACATGGACCTTTGGTCTGACCCAGTATGACCGTTCTTATGTTCTTATCTTAGTGGGAACATTGCCTATCACGCTCTAGCAAGCCTCTTTCTCTTAACCCACAGAAAACTGACCCTAACCCCAAGGGACAGTGAAACTAGAGAACTGGCTCAAATCTGCTACTTTTAAAGGTCACAGTAACAGGCTAGCAACATGGACCCTAAATACTCCACCAGCTTAGCAGGTTCTGAACCTGGTGGAAAAGGCGTAAGTGGGTTCTGCTTCTCTGCTACAGATAAGAAAGGCGGCACTGTCTCTTCGGGAAGAGACACTCACCTAGGCTGTGGGCTCTAAGAGCTGTCAAGCTTGAAGACTAAACCAAATCCCAGGAAGGCGTGAGCTTGTGCTGTAGCTAGAGTTTGCAAAGATGCTGGTTCAGTCACCCCAGGCAGTTAGCAGCAGCGTTGTTATCGCAGATGAATAATCAGACTGGTTTTATGGGATGGGGGTCCCTACCTAAGTAAGGACGCTGTCCTCCAATTCTTGAACACCCAAAACTGCCAACAGCAGTTTTGGAGGAAACAAGGAATCAGGCCTGTAAATGTCACTCTAGCTTAAAATAAGCCTCTTGGGGTATGTCTACACTGCCACCCTAGTTCGAACTAGAGTGGCTAATGTAGGCATTCGAAGTTGCAAATGAAGCCCAGGATTTAAATATCACTGGCTTCATTTGCATCTCGCCGGGCACCGCCATTTTTAAATCCCCCTTAGTGCAGACTCCGTGCCCGCGGCTACACGCGGCACGGAGTAGGTAGTTCGAATTAGGCTCTCTAATTCGAACTACCATTACTCCTCGTGGAACAAGTGTACCGGTAGTTCGAATTAGAGAGCCTAATTCGAACTACCTACTCCATGCCGCGTGTCGCCACGGGCACGGAGTCCGCACTGAGGGGGATTTAAAAATGGCGGCACCCGGCAAGATACAAATGAAGCCCGGGATATTTAAATCCCGGGCTTCATTTGCAACTTCGAACGCCTACATTAGCCACTCTAGTTTGAACTAGGGTGGCAGTGTAGACATACCCTTGTAGATAAAATTAAGGTCCAATGTTTGTGTTTTACCACTCTCTCTGCAGAGCGATTCCACTGGCATGACCAGACCAAGCTGGATTTACAATTGTGAGTGTAAATCAGAGCAGAATTTGACTCATTGGCTGTGGCTGTCTAAACAATAACCCCTTTGGGGATTTTTACACTATATGGGATAGCCTGATTTATTAAAAGACATGAATTGTGAGTAATTACAGGTGGCAAGGGAATTTTCAAAGCAACAGACTGGAGCAGCGATGGACAGCCAAGACTGGTGAGTGGGCCACACAAGTGCCCCTCCTTCATCTCAGTGGGCCGCAAGACTGAAAGTGGTGGACCCATTGGGGTTCCACCTGTGGGCCGTACACCCCCGTTTGCCCTTCCCCCCAAGCCTCTTGTGCACTGGGGCACCAGACCCCATCCCGACCTACACCTCCCCCTCCTTCCCAGCACTTTTGGAGCACCATGAATCACATGATTTGTGCTCTATCCCTGCTCCTGCCCCTCCCTCCCAGAACTTGAAAAGCTGAGAATCAAGCTCTGGGAGGAAGGGGTGGAGTAGGTAAGTTCAGTGCCCCAGTGTGCAAGAGGAGTGGAGGAAGAGGACATAGAGGGGGTGCACAAGCCACAGGTGGAACCCCAATGAGCCGCATGCGGCCTGTGGGCTGCCTACCACTGCCCTGGAGGATCATGATCCTGTTCTAGATAATGAGAAATTCTGGCTACCTGAGGATGGGAGACTCAAGGCTGGAGAAGGAGACACGTCACTGGTTTGACAGTGTATCTCACCATTGTTCGCCGGTTTACTGCCATTCTGACAAACGTCTTTGTGCTTGTCCAAGTCCTTGTACATGATGTATCTGTTACACTCCCAACAGAGCTCCGTTCGACTCCCGCAGGCCTCGAGGTGCCTCTGCAGCTTGCTGAAGGGCATTTCCAGCTCGCAGAATGTGCATTTCAGGGACCGTTCATTACATTCATTGGCCTGCAGGTGGGAAGAGGAAACGATTGCAAACAGTCAATCGAAGCTGAAAGAATAAGGATGTTGGGTGGCTGGAACCACGGTCCGTCCTGAAAATGTCCCTGCTAACGTCTCCATCCTCATCTAACTCCACATCTCCTTCCTAACCATTCCCACTGTCTGCTTCTCCCAGCGCAGCCTGCAAGATGCTGAGAATGGCCTCTCACTTTCCCTAGCTTCCTCCCTGGAGCTGTATGAGACACAAGCGTGGACGGCAGGGCAGAAGTGCCACGGTCCAGGAGAAGAAAGGCCCCGTGGGATGTACTGAGGCGATCGACTCTCCTAGCTAATCCCTATGCGAGAAAAAGAGGGTAAGGACAGCGCTGACCATGTTTATTGAAATGTAAAATGTTTCTGTTAAATGAAACTAAAGAATGACCAGTGGCACCAGAACTATTTTTAGGGTGGGGATGTAGAGGCGGTGTTCCCCCCCCCCCTCAGTTGTTCACGCCCCGCACTGCCTCAACCTGGGGTCACACCTAGGGTTGCCAACTCCACCAGATGCATTTGCGACAATGGTGTCTGGTCTGTCCAGGATGGGAGAGCTGGAAACTTAGCCACAGCTGGAGGCAGCTGTGGAGTCCTGGGCCAAGGCCAGGAGCGAAGCCCATGAGGATGGCAGCCTGTGGAGCCAGTGGGAATGGTAGGACTCTGAAGGGGCTGCCTGGAGACCGGGACCCCAAAGCCCACGGAGCCAGCTGGACTCCAGAGGGGCTGCTTGGAGGCAGGGAGCCTGGGCTGCTGGAGCTGGCAGCAGGTTGGCAGTGGGGCCAGTCCCTGGGTGCATGGAATCTGGGTGCAAACCCCCCTGCGCCCCTATTTCCTGCTACTGTCGTGCTTAAGATGTCTGAGGCTGGGGCTGTTGCATTTCAGCAGGCAAGCCCAAGGTGTTTATTTTGCAATCATCCCTCTTCAGTGCAACTCAAGGTGACTTGTCAAAGATCATCCGAATAGGATTCTGCTATCCTACGTCACGCTACTCACCGTATGACTCTCCAGCTGGTATTTCTGCATGCTTTGGTGACACAGTTTACATCTGACCTGAAAGCCAAGGGGGGAAAGATTAAGTAGGCTGCTTAGGGGAAAATACAAAACGGATCCTGGGGGAACCTTTCAAAGATGTCTGGTGGCATCTCGTGCCAACTCTTCTTCCAATTAATTGCTTATTTTTATTCTGTTTGAAAAGCTGGTGGAGACTGTAGTTTTTGCGGCAGGGACTGGGCTATGTGAGACAAGATTTAGTGGAAAATATAGTTCTGATCTGGCTGTTCAAGTGCAGGGTTTGACCATTTTATTCAGGAATCCAAGCCTGGAATTTCCCCAAGTTCAATGATAAAGACAAAGAATCACAAATTCATGTATGTGCCTAACTCCCATTGATTCCAGTGGATGTTAGAAGCCTATAGCCCTATCGAAATAGGACAGGTGCTCAGTGGGTGTCAGAGATCTTAGCTCTGTGGACGTCGATGGAGTTACGATGAGTTACACTTGATTTCCCCATTCTGTTATGCTACTTTTTATGCATTGAAATCAATGGAGAGACACCAGCATATAATAAACACAACAGAGTGGAGTCAGGCCCATGTGCTAGGCTTCAGTTTGACCATGTAGATGCCATGTGGACGAATGGGAGCTATAAGTCCAGAAGGGACACGTTTCCTGCTCTTCAACTACAGACGTTTGTTGCTATTTGACATTCAATAGCATGGACAGCGGATGAAGGCCCTGCCAAGGAAGGTAAGCCCCAGCTTCTCCCCTTCCTTCCAAGGCCCCACCCCTGGAGCCAACCCCCACCCACCCCAGCCTCATCCTTCCTGGCCATCTGCGGGGCCACAGCTGCCATGCTGGGGCCCCAGCCCTTCCCGGCAGCCAGGGAGCAGGGCTGCCCTGCCACTGCCCCACTCCTCGCACTGTGGACCCAGCCTTCCCTGGTGGCCAGAGCATGTAGGTAGCTTCCCTTGCCTACACTATCTACTGCCCATGTCCAATAGCATGGCTAGGCTAAAAGGAAACAGAGCTCATAACCAGGAACTGTTGTGGTATAAGGAAATGGAGCAGCTCTCACCTGCTTATGTGCTTCTTCCTGATGGCTCTCCATCTCCTTTAGAGCAATAGGTTCATCACACTCTGAACAGAGAGCGAGAAACCGTGTGCAGTGGGTCTCATGCAGAGAGAAATTGGCAGCAGACACATCTCGTTTGCTGTGTGGCATGGAGGGGGGAAGAAAAGGAATGTTACTTCTTTAACTCAACTCTAGCTTGAAAGTGAAAGATCAATATTTATATCTGTGCCCTATCTGACAGAAACATTTGGACTCCATTAGGGCCTGCCTACACTACGTGGAAGATTGATGCTGCTGCAGTCGATCTTCTGGGGTTTGAATTAGCAGGTCTCGTAAAGACCCACTAATTTGAACTGAGTGGGCGCTCCCATCGGTGCCAGTAGTCCTGCTCCTCACGAGGAGTAAGGGGAGCTGATGGGAGCATTTGCTCCTGTAGACTCCCATTGCATGGATGGGGCGAAAACTCTATTTAAGATACGTCGACTCAAGCTACATAATTAACGTAACTGGAGTTGTGTATCTTAAGTCGACTTTCCTCTTTACTGTAGATCAGGTCTTACTGACTCCCCTCACACATGCAGAAATCAGGAATAACTCTGAGTCCCATGGGGTAAAGTTGAGGCAAGAGGTGAATCGGGAACTATGTTGCAAAGTTTGGAGGTGGATTCCAGCTGTGTTTGGAGAACTATGGTCTTCAATAGATCTAGGATAACATACATTAGCTGAAGATCTGCTCCATAGCTTTTTGATCACAATTATGATCGTTTGTTTAGGGCTCCCAAGGCAGGAAGATACAGTAGCTCCTCGCATAACATTGTAGTTATGTTCGCAAAAAATGCAGCTCGAAGCAAAATCCATTTTCCCCCATAAGAATTAATGTAAATGGTGGTGGGGACAGGGAGGGTTAGGTTCCAGGGAATTTTTTTTCAGCAGACAAAAGATAGTATATACATACACAGTGTAAGTTTTAAACAAACAATGTAATACTGTACCCAGCAATGATGATTGTGAAGCTTGGTTGAGGTGGTGGAGTCAGAGGGTGGAATATTTCCCAGGGAATGACTTGCTACTAATTAATGAACTAGCACTTGGCTGAGCCCTCAAGAGTTAACATGTTGTAAATTATCAGAGGGGTAGCCCTGTTAGTCTGAATCTGCAAAAGCGGAGAGGAGTCCTGTGGCACCTTATAGACTAACTGAAGTGTAGGAGCATAAGCTTTCGTGGGCAAAGACCCACTTCGTCAGATGCATGTTGTTAATGTGGCCTCACACTCCTAGGGAACTAAGGGGAGCTAATGGGGGGCTGCCAGCCTACCCTGATTCCAATCCCCCTCCCCCCCCAAGGACAGGCTGCAAGAAGTGGACAAAGCAGGCCACCAAACAGGGTTATAAGAGGGTCTTATGGAACTATAAACAAGCACAAGCTCTAATACAATGTTAACCGGGACAGTTAACCAGGACAATATGAAGTGGGGAGTTACTCTATGGGTTCCCACAAGGACAGTAGCTCTCAATTATCCTAGATGACTGTAACTCTTTTAGGAGTCTGATTTGTCTAGCATACCTCCAAGTTTCACCTCTTGCTTGCAAAATCAGACATAAATACACAAGAAGGTCACAGCACGCTATTATTGAAAAAATGCTGACTTTCTAATTTTGATCCTATAATTATAACATAAATCTATTGGAATGTACATGTTGTACTTACATCTCCGTATATAGAGCAGTCTAAACTTTTTTTGCAGCCTGCTGGAAAGTTAGGCTAATATCCAGAGGTGTTGATGTGCCTGCGGGAAGCGGTCTGCATGCCTCTAGTTGAGAACCACTGGTCTAGCTTGTCTACATCCCCTCTGACATAAATACCACTTTTGAGAAATAAAGGATTTCTTACCAGTTCTTGCAGAACTTGCTCTCCTCCTCCATGGTTTCTCTCTGGCTATGGCCCTCTTTCTCTTTCTTTTGATCAGCCTGTAGCGAGAGAAATGAAACTGAAACTGTAATTCTAAACCCGGCTGCACCACATTGTGTGCAGCAGTAGGGAGGGGCAGTCTTAATGGTGGGAGTTTACCAAAAAGTGCGGGGAGCTCCCTTCCCGGAATAGAATCAGAGCCAACCTATTCTCCAGGTGCTCTGTGTTCGCCTTGGTAATTCTACCTCCTTCCTCGGTATCCCAAATTAATTTGACCACAAGAAGGCAGTGGCTCCCAGCCTTTCCAAGCAACTGTATCCCTTTCACGAGTTTGGCTTGTCTTATGCCAAGTTTCACTTCACTTAAAATCTATTTGCTTACAAAATCAGACAAAAAAATACCAAAGTATCACAGCTCACTATTACTGGAAAACTGCCGACTTTCTCCTTTTACCCTACAATTATAAAATACATCAACTGCAATAAAAATATGGTCCTTACATTTCAGTGTACCGTATATAAAGCAGTACAATCAAGTCATGGTCTGTACGTGATTTTTGTCTGCACTAATTTCATTAGTGCTTTTTCTGTAGCCTGCTTTAAAACTGGACAAATAGGCTGTGTCTAGACTGGCAAGTTTTTCCGCAAAATCATCTGCTTTTGCGGAAAAAACTTGCCAGCTGTTTACACTGCCCGCTTGAATTTCCGCACAAGCACTGATGATCTCATGTAACATTGTCAGTGCTTTTGCGGAAATACTATGCTGCTCCCGTTCGGGCAAAAGTCTTTTTCCGAAAGACTTTTGCGCAAAAGGGCCAGTGTAGACAGCACAGTACTGTTTTCCGCAAAAAAGCCCCGATCGCGAAAAGTACTTTTGCGGAAAAGCGTCCTGCCAATCTAGACGCGCTTTTCCGAAAATGCTTTAACAGAAAACTTTTCCATTAAAAGCATTTCCGGAAAATCATGCCAGTGTAGACGTAGACATATTGTATCTAGATGAGTTGAAATTGAAGAACACCCTGGAACATCTCTGAGTACCTATCAGGGTGCTGTACCCCTGGCTGAGAACCACTGCACCTAAGTAATCTGCCCAACTGTAATGCAGAGTTTCTCTGGGGCTCTCCAAAATCAGGGGAAGGAGGGCTTTGTTCACCTGCTCTGCTCCAGGCCAGCCCTGAGACTACCTATGCTCACATGGCCAGTTTCCAGAGTCAAACTTCCTTCTGGCAGGGACAGCCAGGGCTCTGTTCCCCCATCCCCTTCCTGTCTAGTGTGGTGAATTCTTTTCCTAAGGACAAAGAAAGCACAAACGGCCTTCAGTGGATTCCTTCGTCCTTGGCAAACAGCCCTCCTGGCAACCACAAGAGGGAGTTAGAATGCTCTTGCTTTCCTCTTAATTTTCTCCAGCCCTGGCTATGTTTAGACTAGACTATGGAGTTTTTTCCACAATATGTATCCCGGAAAAACTCCGCTGCATCCAGGGAACACGTCTGCTCTTCCAAAATTTTTTGTAGAAGAGCAGACAGGCTCTTTTGAAAGAGGAGGTTTTTCTGAAATTTGGCCCAGTGTAGACAGGCCAAATTTTGGAAAAGCCTCTTCCAACAAAACTATCAGGAAAAGGTATGCAAATTGCGGAGCACAATTTGCATACCTTTTGCTAGAAAAAAGTGGCAGTCTAGACATAGCCCATGGAACAAGGCTCGCAATACAGGATCCCTGCCCTTGGAAATGAAAAGACCCATTGGACCATTTAGTCCATTTCTGGGATCATTTAGCCCATTTTTGATGGGGGGCCACTACAAGATTTTGGAAAGTGGTCGAGGGCCGCACTCTTCCAGGATATTAATGGATGAATTCTGGGGTCTGGGATGGAGGTTGGGTGCAGAAGGGAGCTTGGAGCAAGGGATTGGGGTACAGGAGGGAGAATGGGATCTGGGAGGTCGTTTGAGTGAAGAAGGGAGTTGTGACCTAAGGCAGGGGACTGGGATGCAGGATTTTGGGATGTAACCATGGGTAGGAAGGGATTGTGATCTGGGGCAGGAGATTGGGGTAGCATCCTCTTGCCCACCCCTGATTTAGTCCCAAACCTATGCAAATACAGGATTCAGTCGTCTACAGGATGGTCCACCAGGAATTGAAATGATATCAACCTGCCCAATATCAATTTGACTCAGGACAAAGTCCTGGCAGAGGAATCAAGATGACCAACGGGAAAATATTCCAAGTTATTGAGTGAATATTTCACACCTAGGGCATTTTCTCAAAGGTCTAGAAGGAGCCCAGTACCTGCTGGATGTTAAACTGACCTTCTGTGACATTTTGCTTATAAACATGCTTCAAGTTTTCCTCCTCCTTCCATATCATTTTACCATAATGGACGGGACACAGGACTGGGAAGCAGGTGACTCTGTTCTAGTTGTACCCTAAGTGTGTCCTAATTAGGTCTGTGTGTGGTGGGGGGGAGGGGGGTGAAACTAGACAAGCCTCATAAAATAAAATAGTAAATAATTTAACATACCCACAGGCTGCTCATGCGATGAATCCCACAGAGTGGGTGTCAGTCTGGCTTGTTACTAGTATGGAAGGTTAGTTACAGCCTGGCACTGGTAGGTAACTTGGAAAGTTTACCTCCACCTCACTGATCTCCCATGGTGTCTGTAACTCCTCCAAGCCACACCCCTCCTTTGTTAGTCCAGCTCATTGGTCTCTCTGACCATGTGATATGGTCCATTGTTATTTCAGCCAATCAGGAGGAGCCCCATATGGCCTGGTTTCCAAGTTCAATTTTCCCATTAACAGCAGCCCACTGGTCTGAATCTCATGGTGGTGACTTTGCTTTCATTCATTCTCCCCTTGTTGGTCCAGAGAACTATCAACGGGAAAAAATATTGCATGTGGATGCAGGTCACTTCTCACTATTGGAAAGATGGTTGGTATCTGTGGAACTTCCTAATAACTCCCATAGAGTTCAAAGAGCTCTATTCATCAGTAACTCTCAAAGCACTTCACAAAGGCAGGTCAGCATTACCATCCCCACTGTGGGCCCAGCAGACTGGGGAATAGAACCCAGGTTTCCAAGTCTCAGTCCAGGGCACTATACACTATTCATTACCATGCTGCCTTGCCATGGAAACAAGTCCTGAGTAGCATGAACATAGCACTCCCACCCCTTTCCAGATCCCAGACCCTTTGTTTTTCCTAATAACCCTGAATCCATTCCAGGAGAATTTTTTTTAGCATGAGCAAAGGCAAGTCTCCAATCCAGGGGTGGGGAAACTTTTTTGGATTGGGTGCCGCTGACCCACAGAAAAATCAATCGGGGGGCCGCACACAAGTGAGAAGCAAAAAAGCCCACCCAAACCCTCACTGAAATGGCCCCGACTGAGAAGGAGAAAGACTCTTCCCACGTTCCCTTTGCACACCAAAGCCTAAGGAGGGCCTGGGCTAGTAGATTTTTTGTGCTCCAGTCCCACAGTGACATTGGGGGCTGGGGGCCAGCACTGGCTTCCCAATGCTGGGGAGGGAGCCTTGAGCCTCCGGGGCTGGATCCAGGCAAGCCATGGGTGCATCTGGCACCTGGACCTTAGACTCCCCACCCCTCCTTTAATCTGTGGGCATCAAACCTCCCTTTTGCTACCCAGTGCAGATATTGTGATGACTAAAAGATCAATCATTTCAAGCCCAATAGAATTATTTCCTTTGGACTACACGGTGGACAACCTATATCCTGATGAGAAAAGTCTGCATGAATGAATGGAAGCACGAGATCACTGGAGCACTAATAAGGGAAACAAATTGTCACACTTTACATCGAGGTGCCATTATAACTGGTTTATAAAGAGTTAATAGATGTCATAAGAATGATACAGACACTACACTATGGCTGTGTCTAGACTGGCCAGTTTTTCCGGAAAATCAGCCGCTTTTCCGGAAAAACTTGCCAGCTGTCTACACTAACCACTTGAATTTCTGCAAAAGCATTGACTTCCTACTGTAAGAAATCAGTGCTTTTTGCGGAAATACTATGCTGCTCCCATTCGGGCAAAAGTCTCTTTTGCGCAAAACTTTTGCGCAAAAGGGCCAGTGTTGACAGCTGAGATTTGTTTTCCGCAAAAAAGCCCCGATCGCAAAAATGGCGATCGGGGCTTTTTTGCACAAAAGCGCGTCTAGATTGGCCACGGATGCTTTTCCACAAAAAGTACTTTTGTGGACAAGCGTCCGTGCCAATCTAGACGCTCTGTTCCGAAAATGCTTTTAACGGAAAACGCTTCTGTTAAAAGCATTTCCGGAAAATCATGCCAGTCTAGCCATAGCCTATATGTGAGAGACCATAATAAGCACATCACAAGAGAGGGAATAGATGTTTATTGACTTGTTGGTTTCCGTAAGACTCTATAGCAATTGATTAGCAATTGTTTATTAGAAATATGCCTGTTGCTGAGCTGATTGAACATCTGTGAGCACAGGGGAGGGAGGAAAGGGTTTGCACACTGCTCCTGCCCCCAGCACTGCTCCCACCCTCAGCACAGTCCCAATGGGCTGGCCAATGGGAGCTGCCTGTTGTCAGCAGGCAACTTGGGAAGCATCCTCCCCTCCTCTCTTCAGGCTCCTAGCTGTTCAGAAACCACATGGCCCCTGCAGTAGTGTTACTCAAAACATTAGCTGTAAGAATCATAATTTGTGTTTATTAGTTGTTTACTGTAGTGCCCATGAGTTGCTAGGTGTTTTCCAGATGTATATAATTGTCTGGAATGGACAGATGGACAGACAGATAGAAGTCACGAAGGGGTATTTTCTGAGCAAAGCAATGAGATGTGCTCTAATCTGGATTTCTGCTGTTGTACCTGGGCATCCTACAGCCGGGTTTCTCAACATGTGGGTTGGGACTGAAAATTGAGTCACCTCACCAGGGTGTTTCAAATGATCCCATGGCAGCTCCTGTCCACAGGGTTGGCTGGACTTGCTACCTTGCTCTGGCAGCTGCAACCTCTGACATAAAATCCCATTTAATTAGTGAACTGATTAAATGTTAAGTTTAATCCATTAACTGATTAAATAGGGCAGTGGAGACTCAGTTGCTTCCGGCCCTGCATGGGACTGCCAGCTCCCAGCTCATGTGAGCAGCAGGAAGCAGCAGCCCTGTGCAGCCCCAAACTGCACTGTGGGCAGGGGACTGCTCTTCAGGTACCGGTTAACTGGTCACCTGTTAACATCCCTAGTCACAGTGCCACTTTGGTTTAGCCCAGCAATCATGATGATGGGAGCCCAGCTAGGACAAATTTGAGTGAGTGGTCACAACTCCACTCTCTCAAATTTGGTCCATTTGGGAAAAGGGGGCAAACCCGAGTGGCACAGCAACCCCACAGCAGAGAGCAACGTCAAGCCAGCCCCGCAGCACAGAAGCTGCAAGAGTCATTCAGCCTGACTTAAGAACATAAGAATGGCCATACTGGGTCAGACTAAAGGTCCATCTGGTCTAGTGTCCTGTCTGCTGACAGTGGCCAATGCCAGATGCCCCAGAGGGAGTGAACAAAATAGGGAATCTTCAAGCAACCCGTCTCCTGTCACCCATTCCCAGCCTCTGACAGAGGCTAGGGACACCATTCCTACCCATCCTGGCTAATAGCCATTGATGGACTTAACCTCCAGGAATTTATCCAGTTTTCTTGAGCCCTGTTAAAGTCCTGGTCTTCACAACCTCCTCTGGCAAGGAGTTCCACAGGCCGACCATGCGCTGTGTGAAGAAAAACTTCCTTTTGTTTTAAACCTGCTGCCTATTAATTTCATTTGGTAACCCCTAGTTCAATGACTTGAACTCTGCCCTTTTGGGATAAGTGACACTGGTCACCAGTATTCCCTCTAATCTTTTCCATACATGTGCAGATTTTTTCCATTCATGTGTGGAATAAAAGTTTTGTGTGCACCAAGGTATGTGTGAATGTGCACCACCAAATGAAAAAAAAACTAACTGGGGGCGTTCAGCTAATCAGCGGGGCAGCGTTTGAATCTCTTCTGAGTGGCTGCACAAGTGTTCAGATTACAGGGAACACTGCCGGTCACCCTATTTCACATGTGCTTAACTGTACTCATCAATTAGGCCCATGCAATCAAGACTTAGGAAAATTATTGTTCTGATTCTGCACTGCACTGCCCCATAGCATTTACAGTGGGGTAACTGACTCTTTAACAGGCCTGGGCAAAATACCCTCTGTGGGATGGATGCTGTCCACGAAGCCGCCAAATCCGGCCTGTGGACTCGTGGCCTACCCCGTGCATGCTGCTGAGGAATACGCCTGTTGCAGAGCTGATTGAACATCTGTGAGTCCAGGGGAGGGAGGAAAGGGTTTGCACGCTGCTCCTGCCCCCAGCACTGCTCCCGCCTTCAGCACAATCCCAATGGGCTGGCCAGTGGGAGCTGTCTGTTGTCAGCAGGCAGCTTGGGAAGCATCCTCCCCTCCTCTCTTTAGTCTCCTAGCTGTTCAGAAACCACATGGCCCCTGCAGCCAGTGCGGGAGCGGGGCAGGCAGGGAATCTGCTTGGAAAGGCTGCTGGCTGAGAGTCAAGCAAGTAATCTCTTAGCCAGAGCCTGCCTCTGACACTCTGTCCCCCACCCCAAATAACCCAACCCCTCTGCCCCCATGTCGCCTCCCAGATCCTGCACCCCAACCCCTACCCCAGGTCACAACCCCCTCTTGCTCAAAGTCACAACCCAAAACCCTGCACCCAGTCCCCTAACTCAGGTCACACTTGCCTCCTTTATCCTCACTCCCTCCCAGACCCCACACCTTCTGCAGCCCAATCCCTTACTGCAGTGGTCACCAACCAGTAGATCTTGAAGCCTCTGGCACGTGATTCTGACTAGTTTACTAAAATACTCAGTATCCGTACAAGATTAAAACATTCACTATATAGATGAAATAATTGCAATCAGGAGAGGGGAGTTAGCACAACTGGAAGATTTAAATGAATAGCTAAAGTCTATGTATAACACAATCAGATTTTCAACATTGTTTAGTCCTGCCTGTATTCATTTTCTGGATGTTTGATTAATATACATCATGGCTAATTCAGCAGTGAGATGTTCAGAAAAGTGTAGCTGGTAGTATAGCAACTTGCACCTATCCTCATTAATAAAAAGCCTAGTATATAGTTGTTTCAGAAGGAGATAGGCTATCTTGGTGATACTACATTTCATCCAACAAATGCTTGTTAGACAGAAAGTGGAAAACATTGCATTCTTTTAACAGTGCCCATGCTGTAGAAGCAAATTGAAATAATAAGAATTTGTCATTGACATGTTTCCATATAATCAGTCCATTAGTAACAAAGCCTGAAAGGATTATTGTATGGATTATATTGATATTGTTAAAATAAGGAGGTGTTTACATTACCTATCCATATAAGCTATTTCTAAAGCACTTACCACAGTATCTAAGCACCAAGGCTATGTCTACACTACCAGGTTTTTGCGCAAAAACAGATGTTTTTACGCAAAAACTTGGGGAGTGTCCACACCTCAAATGAGCTCTTATGCAATTAAATGAGCAAATAAATTGCAGAACAGAGGGCTTTTTCCGCCCTAGGTAAACCTCCTTTTCTGAGGCATAACTGCTTTTTAGCGCTACAGCTATTGCTCAAAAAGGCAAGTGAGGACACTCCAGAGGAGTTTT